AATCTGTTAAAATCAAAATGAACGTAGCCATTATAAAAATTAACGCTTTCGTTTATATCTCACCCCGACCCCCTTTTTTCCTGGGTGACCAACTTCAGTTCGCAATAAACAAGGTTATAACAACATTCCCAATCAACCTACAACAGCAACGACAAAAGAGAGAAAAAAAACAACAGCAAACTCATTTCGTCACAAAGCGGGGCAAGCAAGCCGGATGAAATAAAGGGAGCTATTGTTAGTTCGGCAGACCGACAACACGACAGTCCCGCTGAATAGGGTGGGAAGGTGGTTGGGCGGGGTCATTAACGGCAAAACGTAATTACCCGAGCGTCAGCCTGAGCCCTGGACTTCTCTCCTGTTCCTGGTAAGTGACTCGCTTAACCCACTTACCACAACAGACCTCCTCCTTATTATTTCTGCCCAACGCTGGCCGAGGTAACGATGTGCTGACTTTGGGGAGCAGCAATACTACAACTACAAGGGGAAAGAATGAGGGGATTGGGGAGAGAGAGAGAGAGAGAGAGAGAGAGAGAGAGAGAGAGAGAGATAGAGAGAGAGAGGGTAGAGAGAGAGAGGAGAGAGAGAGAGAGTAGAGAGAGAGGGGGGGAGCTAGACAGAGAAAGAGGCTGAGAAAGAGAGAGGCTGAGAAAGAGAGAGAGAGGGGGGGGAGAGAGAGAGACAGAGAGAGACAGAGAGAGACAGAGAGAGACAGAGAGAGACAGAGAGAGACAGAAAGAGAGAGTGAGACAGGGAGAGAGAAAGCGAGAAAGCGAGACGACTATTATTATGAACAGAGGTTTCAAGGGGGCTCTCGTGGCCGAGAGGTTAAGGTGTTGGCCTCTCATTCAAAAGGTCCCGGGTTCGAATCCGGGTAGCGACCAAAAAATTGTCTCCTTTCACCTCCTTTCCTGCTCTCTAGCAATGTTCTGTTGTCTGCTTTCATTTCCACTTTCTGCCCCCCCACCCCCTCACCTCCTTTGCCCCCTCCTCTGGGCTCCTGACTCTTTCTGCAGCCTTTCTACTGTTACTCCTTGGCTCCTCCTTACTGCTGTCTTTCTGCCACACCCCTGATCTTCTGGTTGACAAAGGCGAAAAATCTCGGAGGGCCCGTGTCCAAGTTGCGCACGTTAAAGATCCCTTGGTGGTCTAAAATCGATAAGAGTAGGCTTCGGCCGCCACCCGGGCAAAATTCAAAATTTCCTACCAACTGAAAATATTAGGTGCGTCCCGCGCGCTCATATGACCTTATGCAGTTGCGAGCGCCGTAAAACACTTTACAAAAACAAAAAAACAAAGAGGTTTCAATTGAAGACCTCGTGTGGCGTGTCCGATACAACTCATGATGATGTAGATGTTGGCGTTGTATTGAACTCCTGGCGAGCATGGCGATGTTTCTCCTGTTCATTTTTTAGGTCGTTAAAAAGATGTAAAGTATTAGAAGTTTCACGCCCCTCGGCACTATTTGGGTCATTTGGGAGGTGAGTTGCTTCAACCCTGCCTGAGAAGGCCATCCCGGGCTTTCTTCCTTTCTTTCTTTTTTTCTAACGTAGGCGTTCTAAACGTTTTAATGTGCCCGCCGACACATTCCGAGCTGAAAGGGATACAAGATACAACATCCTAAAGGAAAGACGGAGAATGACATACTCGATTTTTTTAAAAATTCTCCCCACACGGGAATCGACCTCACGTCTTCTGACTGCGACGACAAAGCGCCTGAACACAACACCACCGACGTCGGCTTTGTGGCGAATCTGGGAAATGCTGGACGTGGATAAAGCGCAACAGCTATTTACATGTAGGCCTACCACCCCGGCAACAGCCCAACTATAATTTGCAATTGACGCACAAGCTGGTGTAGTTCAAGTAGAAAGAGGCAGAAGGATCACAGTGGTGCGGAAAGTGAAGCTTATTATGACGTGGGAACACGTCAGTTGTTTCCAGTCAGCACCTCAGCACGATCGTGCCCATTCATCTTGTACTTGTAGTGCATGTGTACCCAGTGCAAACTGCCAATCGGATTCATTTATATATTTGATTGAGTCGGGGTCAACCAGAATGTCCTTAGTCGACGAGAAAAAGCTACCAATTTGACACAGTGCGACTAATACCGATTTGCAACCTTGAAAAAAAAAACGGGTTTGATTTTTTAATTAAAATTTTACAGCACTTGCAACACAATAATGTCATGTAAGTGCCGAACATTAGAGGTGTTATTAGAGAGTAACGAACACAAAAAAGAAGAAGAGATAAGAACCACAGATGTTTGACAGGAAGGAAGGAGTAACCCACCCGCCAACCTCCCACGGGTTTAATTTTTAAAGGTCGCAGTCGACTTTAGTTGAATAAGACAGAAAA